GTGTGTGTGTGTGGCGGAAGTAAAAAAAAAACAAACTGCAGGGCGCCGTTCGCACTGCCTGTACCCGGTGGAAGGCAGCAACAAATAATAATAACAATAACAAAAGACAAACCATCACGCGGAAATAGAGAGAGAGAGAGTAAAAAGGAGAATGAAAGAGTGAAAGAGAGACGCAACGGCGCAGCAGCATTCGCGTCGAGTGCTTACGGCCCCCGTCCGCTTTCCTCAGGACTCGCCAGAGTTACCACATTCTGCTCATACTGTGCAATAAACGCCAACAGCTCCTCCGTGATTCTGGCAAGCTTTTCTATGACGCCCTTCGCCACTTCCGTGAGGTGCAGGGCCGGCTTCGCGCTTGTCGTCGTCGTCGTCGTCGAGTGCGCGGGTGTGGCGCAGGCGAGTCCCATGAGTTGTGGGAAGTGCTGCAGGAGGCGGACGAGGTAGCACAGGTGCACATCACCCAGCCAGCAGAACCCACCGCCAGCGGAGGAGGTGTCAGGGGCGGCCGCGTTATTTTTGACGAGCCTCCGAACTGCCTTCTCGGCGCTCCACTCGTAGCAGTCCGCCTTCTCCTGGTCGTACAGGAGGGTGTGGAGAAAAAGCTGCTCAAACTGCTGCTCAATGAGAGCAATGCAGTCCATGTAGAGTTGCTCCTCCTGCCGCGGGTACTCAAACGGGGAGGTGAAGTCTTGGCGCTCCCGCTGCGACCGATAGAAATCCTGCACAGAGGCGGCAAAGGCACGAAGAACGGCGCGGCAGCTAAGTGCAGGGTCAAACGTGTGCCGGGCGGAGTTAAGCCGCGTCCCTTCATTCCGGTCGCCGTCCCCCTCCTCTTCTACTTGTCTCTCCGTCTCCGCATTATTATTACTATTCGCGTCGTTGTTGCCCCCCGTATCACCACTAGCAGCAGCAGCAGCAGCAACAGGAGCAGGAGGAGGAGGAGGAGAGGCTGGGCGGATAAGCCGTGCTCGCAGTGTCCCGCGGTGGAGGTGATCCGAGACTAGCCGCCGACGCAGCGCATCCGGGGTTGCAAATACCGGCTGCAGTGCGGTTGGCACAACTGTTGGTGTAGTGTACTTCACAACCGTCACCGCCGGGGGCTTCGGCGGAAGTTTCGCGGCCACCGTCGCCGCTTCCTTCTTTTCATTCACTGGTGTGGATGCAGCCGCAGCAGCCGCAGTGGGAAGTGTGCCTCCCCCCGCCCGCTCGTCGTCTTGGATGCTGCTGGGCCGTGGCTGCCGCAATTGCGATAACGGCGACGGTGACTCCTGCTTCTGCTGCGACGACGGCGGTTGCTCCGCCTCGCGGACGTACGCGTCGACGCCGGACTTGGTGCCTTTGAGGGCGGGCGCGTGGCGAAGCACGAAGTCGTCAATCTTCTTGTGGGCAAAGGAATGAAAGGACTTTGCGAGTTTCACCCACGCCTGCGCATTGGCGTTGAATCGGAGGCAGTTGGAGACCATCAGCTCCACATCGTTCCGCAGCAGCACCAGCGACTGGGCGACCGTGCCGCCAAAGACAGCCGACGTCGACGCCTCACTCGCCGAGAGTTGCCTGCGCCTGGACTGCGTCTGCGGCTCTGCGGGCGCGGCTTGCTGCGGCAGCCCGAGGTAGTAGCCGCTCGCCGCCCGCTCCCTGGCAAGGATGAGGTTCATCTGCACCGGGCACACCGCCGCGTACGACTGCCGCAGCTCCGGGTACGCCGTCGCCACGTCCACCGCGAAGGCGCCCTTGTCCTCGCGGCGGTTCAGCGACTCCACCAGCTTGACAACCTCCGCGCTGCTCACGGAGCTGCCGCTGGCGGGGCCGGGGTGACCCCTGCCGCCGCCCCTGGGCTGCTGCGACTGCTGGGGGCTGCTGGCGCCCGACGCGGTTCTAGACTCCTCACGCTGGCGTTTTCCGCGCGTCGTCTCGCCCGCGGCGGCGGACAGGCGAAACGACGACGCCCGCCGCCCCCCCGTCTTCTTCGCGACGTACGCGTCGATCTGCGCCTTCGCGAAGGCCTCGAAGCGGTTGGCGATGTCGGCCAGGACCCCCTCCGTGCCGTTGAAGCGGAGGCAGTTGCTCACCATCAACTCAACGTCGTCCCGCAGCGCGGTGAGCTTCACGTCATAGCTGTACGCGTCACTGGCGGCCTTCTCCGCGGCAGTGGCGAGGTCGCAGCGCCGCGGACACACCCGCGTGTACTCCTCGGCGAGGTGCGGGTAGACGAGCAGGACGTCCTTCGAGAAGAGGCCCTCGTCCTGCGGCCGGTCGAGGGAGCGCACCAGCGCGACGACTTCGTCGGCAGGGTAAAACTTCTGCCGCCGCTCCTGCATGCGCCCCCCGCTTCCTGTGAGGAGAGGAGATGTGTGTGTGTGTGTGTGTGACCTGCGTGTGTGCGTGCGGGAGAGAGCGAGAGAGTAGTGTGTGCGTGTGTGTGTGTGTGTGTGCGGGCGGGCGGAGGTGTGCGCTTGCACTGCCGCCGGCCCGGCCCAACGAGGCCGTGTGCGGCGGAGCCTCCCCACACCGCCCCCCCCCCCCCCCCACCCCGATGCACGCGTGCAGAAAAGTCACATCAGAAACGTAGGCGTCCCCGAAAATTCCGGTAAATACAAAAAAAACAACAAACAAACAGGCAAAATAAAAAAAAAACTTCTTCTCACTTCCCATTGCATCTGTTACGATACCCCCCTACTGCCGACACAGAAATGCCTATATATATATATATATATATTATATATGCATGTATGCGTGCATACTGATCTTTTCCGTGCTCTCTCCGCCCACGCCCCCCCCCACTTCCTTCAATATCGTCGGTTTACTGGCACAACCCCACCCCCCATTGCTACACAAGAGACGTTGACGTATGTACGTGTGCGTTCGCGAAACTAAAAATGCGAGGAGTTCTCGCTATAAACAAGCTAGATAGTAGATAGGTAGAGAGGGAGGGAGAGGCAGATGCGTGGTTATGGGCGCCCTCCCAACGGCGTCCGCCGTGTGCATTACGGTCTCTCGGTTATCATGCCCATATATTCCATCCCTCGCCCCTGTAGGTGCGCATGGACGCCGACACCTCACCCTCCTCCGTGATGAGCAGGAAAGAGTCCACAATTTCAGCCAGCGTACTGCTGTACTCGGGACGGAACACAACGGGATCGCCGACGCCAATGGGATCATCTGCCGGTGAGCCGTCTGACAGCATCACGCCCATCTCGAGGTCCTCGTCCACGTAGGCGCCTTGGCATCGCGCGGAGCGCAACCTTGGCGGGTACACCGCGACGGCACCAAGGAGGCTTCGCCCAAATCCGCTGCAGATGAGCACCCCACGCGGCCCCACGCGGGTCACCGCCAGTGCAAAGTACAGCGACGGTTTAAAGATGGAGTCGGCGTAGCGGTCCAGTTGATGCCCGCACAACAAGCCCGCACCGACACACACCTCAGCAAGGGTGTCATCCTGTGCGGCGTAGACAAGCGAGGCACTGCTTCCGCCACTGGTAAGAAGGACATCAGGCGCCGCCTGCCTCTTGTACCCCAATCGCTCAAGCATAGAGCAACGACGCTGTTGCAGCAGCTTTGCCGCATACGGCTTGTACCACCGCAGCAGTGGGTAGCGCATGGACCATCGTGCCGGGATGAAGCAACTGGCGGTGTGTGAGGACGTGGGGGCGATGTCGGCGCGTGACAGCTGCCCGTCCTCGTGTGTCCACAGCCCTCGGACAAGGAACTGAATCCCAACTGGCAGCTTCTCGTTCGAAAGCTTCGCGTTGAACTCCCTCACCATGGCACAGAATTGCGACACGTGGCGAGAACTGCGCAGCGGCTGTGGTCCCTCGCCGCGCGGAAACGGACTCCACGGGGCGTCACCCGAGAGATCCACACGGAGCATCAAATCAAACTGCAGCGACTCCACCGCGCTGTCAAATCCCAGGCGGGTGTACCCACCGCTGGAGATCCATGCCTTGGCGGCGCCCCAAAGTAGCTCCAGCTGCGCCACCGCATCCACCACCACTAGGCAACGCACCTTTGAGGAGACGTTGAGAGTCATGGCCTCGACGTAGTGGGCGGCGCTCACCGCGTCCACGACAGGTTCTCCTAGCAACAAGGAGGCGAAGGTGCCGCGCCGCGCCCACAGAAGCGTCTCGGCGGCAGTGGAGGTAAGCAAACCCGACACCAAGGGCCGTCCAGGGGCAATAATATCATAGTCCGAGCACGGGCGGGAAAACTTCTCCATCAGCGCCGCCGCACGCTCCAGCAGCTCCGGACAGTGGATGCCTTTGGTAGTCAATCGTATTTGCTTATTGCTCTTCAGCAACAGTGAGACCACCGCACGCACGTTTGACTCAAAGGCCGCGTTGTCCACAAAGGCGACGGGGCAGGAGACGGACCCGCGCAGCGCCTCCGTCGCCGCGGACCAGTTCGCCGAGCCGGAAAAAGCCCCTGCCTCTCGTGCCGGAGGCACCGCCGAGGGATTCTTGGAGTCGCTCGCAGTCTGCTGCCCGCGGCGGTGACTGCAACTCCCGGCAGACCCACGCCTTTTCAGGGAGGCGTGGAAGCGCAGCACAGCTTTAGGGATGATGAGGCGGGCACGAGAAATGCACCACGCGGCGCGATACTCGCTGAGTGCGTACGCGGAGTACGCGGCGGAGAGGACGGCAATCGCCAAAAAAGAGAGACGTCCGAAGAGGCACATCCCCGCAGCGCCGCACCGTCCCTGCTTCCTCCTCCACTTTTTTTTTTCTATTCCCTCACGGAGCCACCGCCGCTCCCTTCCAGACCACTAACACGGCGTGAACGCCTTCTCCCCTTTTCTGCCCCTTTGCCCTCCCCACCCCCCACCCCCAGTGTTTCAACTGCGTTCCTTCCTTCTACCTTCCTCTCTCGCGCTGTCTCTCTCTCTCTCTCACACACACACACACCGTCTTTATGTCTCTTACTGCAACGACAAAGACGCCCCCACGCTTTCTGCATTCATTGGAGACGACGACGAGGGAGAAAAGACACAATAAAAAAAGAAGAGAAATGCAAAACAACCCGTGGACGATAAAAAAACAAAAAAAACTGAACCAAGTTTTTATGCAAGAGGGCACAACGGGAACGAAAATAGGGGTAATGGTACAAATTGCTACCCTTTTTCTCCCGCACAGTATGTATGTATGCATTCGCAGCGCACTACAACATCACCCATAATTGCCATGGGTCCCTCTTCATACCGATGCAACAAGCTGGCGGAGGCGCTGATACTCTTCCTTAGACAGAACCAAAGCACCGTCGCCAGGATGCACCTTCGCCTTTGATGGGCGCGCGGGAGCTGTTCCCTGAAGCTGCGGGCCTCCCACAGCTGTTTTGCTGCCGTTTGCCGTTCGTGCGCGGGGCGCCATCGTCGTCACGGTCGCGGTTGTCGAGATTGTTGTATTGCGCGTCATGACCGATGAGGAGGACGAGTGGGGTCGGTCCCGCGTCGTGGTCGTCGGCTGACCCGTGGCCCGGCTCAAAACCTTGGACCCGCCGATGCTGGACCCCGCCGTCGCTGCGGAAGACAGGCGGAGCCGTGGGGGCGCTGTTCGCGTCGCGGCGTTGCTGCTGCTGCTCACGGCTGGTTTTGCGGTTCTTGTGTGCGCAGCTGCACTGTGCGTGCACCATCCAGGTCGCCGCGGGGTGTCGCCGCCGCTCCACTTGGCGCTGAGGATCTTCAGCGGCCTGGCGTAGTAAGTGACAGGCGTGGTCGAGACGTCAGTCACGGTGCTTTCGGCTGCCGCGCCACCGCCTGGCGGATTGCTGTGGGCAACAACACCGGTGTTGTTGTTGTTGTTGTTGTCGTTGTTGCTGCTGCTGCTTCTGCGGTGTCGCGCCTCCGCGTCGTGCGGCTCCTGAAACTCGCCTTGAATGAGCCGCTGCACCAGCGGAACATCGCCCTCGTACACCTGCCCGCCACGGCCAAGCGTGCATGCGGCGTCCGGCGCGCTTCGCGGTGGCGGCGGGCCTTGAACAAAGCCGCGGCGGCGGCGGTCAAACGACAGCCCGTAGAGAACCGCCGCCTCCCGCCGCCGCGCCGCACGGAGACGCTCCGCCGCGGTGGGTGGCGTCGATTCTTCGCTCTGCATCGCAGCGGCACGGTGGGCGGGGCGGGGCAGACCACGTGCCGCCTTCTACTCACTGACGCGGCGGGTGGCGTCCTCTATGGGGGGGGGGGTCGCTGTCGGGTGTTCTGCCTGCCGCCGAGGACGCAAACAGGCACGTCGGCACGTCCGCGCCGCAGTCGACGCCACAGAGAGAGGGAGAGAGACGAAGGCGGCGGGAGGAAAAACAACGGCGAAGAGGATGAAAACAACAACAACAACACACGTAGTGGGGGGGGCTACCCGCGGCGGCAGCGAGCCGACGAGAGCGGGGGGCGGGACGGGGGACAGCGCAGGCGCACGCGTGTTGGGTTTCGGGTTGTCGGAGTGCGAACAACAAGAGAGCAAAGGCGCGAGGGCGTAAAAAAAAAAACGGGGGAATAAAGAAAAGAAAGAGATAAAAAAAAAAGAAGGACCAGGCGGGAAATAGTGGCGGCACACCATCATTGCGACGAGTTTTTACTCCCAGGAGCGCCATCCCTCCACTTGCGCCTCAGGGCTTTCGTTGCCGGTGTGCCTCCACGGCGCGAATCAAGTCGTCCTTCTCGAGGCACCCGTCCCAGGAGATGCCGTTCACCCACATCATCGTCTTGAGCTCCCGCACCGTCATCGCCCGCATCGCGGCGCGGGTTGCGGGAATCGGAATCGACGCCCCCCCGCCGTCCGACTCCGGGCCCAACGGATGAGGCGGCGCGGCGGCGGCGGCGGCGGCGGCGGTGGGCGGCTGTGGCGGCGCCACCGCGGAACCCGGCGGCCGCGCCCCCCCGCCCACCGACGAGCAGAAAGAAGACGGGACGACGCAGTCCGCGACGCGCGCGGCCCTGTTGATATACGACGGGAACTTCTTCAGCCTGATCTCCGGGAACTCCTTCGCGAGGGCATCGCGAAAGGCGCTCGAGAAGTGGTTGCAGTTGCGCTGTAGAAGATGGTAGGTGCAGGCCCCCCACTCCGGGCCCATTTTTTTCAAAACAGCATAAACACGTGACGGTCGTGTGCCCAACGGCAAGTGGCCCAGCACGACGCTTTCCTTCAGCATGTACTGCGGCAGTGCCCGTTTCGGCAAGCAGGGGAAAATGCCGCAGAAGTGCGGCGGACTATCAGCCTTTCCCCCAAACGCCCACTCTGTGCCGAAGACTTCCACGCCGGTGTGGTACAGGCCAAGTCCGAAACACTCATTCAGAGTTCGCTTTCCGCCGCCGGCGCGCTTCTGCAGATTGTAAACATTTAACACAACACTCACGCCCTCCTCCTGCGTCCTGAGACCAACAGGGGGCGATGGTGAGTGGCGTGCAGGAGCGGCGCCTGACGACGAAAGCGCGGAGGCAGGGTGAGAATTGGGGGGGACGGAGTTCATAGACTCGAGCCTTTTCGGCGACTTCTTCCTGTTGCGTGCCGCGCCATCTACCGACGCAGTTTGCTCCGATTTCGAGTCACAGGTGCCCATGATGTTGGCAGTTCCGGCCGCCACTGGCGCCCTCCTGCCTCTTGCCCCCCCCGGCCGCCACTTACCTGTTGTGCGGCGCAGTTGCAGTGGAGCGAGAGAAAGAAAGAAAGAAAGAAACACATGCATGCAGTTAGTTGCCGAGCGCCTATCACGTGGCGGCGACAATAAACAGGTGCCTTCGGTGGCGCAAAGGAAAAGCAGCGCGACAGCAGAAGCAGTACACGAAAAAGAAAAACACGATAGCCACAGCGCCCACAGTGCGGGTCAGCTGAAGGGGGAAAAAACAACAACAACAAAAAGAAAACTGGGTTTGCTCCTTCTCTCTCGCACACATACACAGAGTCCCAGTAAGAGAGAAGGGGAGCCTCATTGTGATGCAGTGCTGCGGGTCTCAGAATTGTCCTCCTTGGGCTGCTCGCCGCCGCAGTAAAGCGTCGTCCACGAGCTGAAGGCGCCAGGGGGCGGAAGCGAGACCCCGGCCGCGGCTGCAAGCGCCGCAAACGAGGACGGAGTTGTGGACAGCAACGACCCACGTGGATCGCTGGGCACCGTTCGCACGCCACCGCTCAGCAGCTCCATTTCCCCTTCCAAGAGAAGTTCCCGTGTGGTTCCCGGCACGTTTTCTATCGGTGGCCGGAGCGACTCCACCGCCGGCCGCTGCCCAAGCAAAAAAGGCTCCGCGACCGTCAGGCGATGCACCCACCTGCTGCCATCCACGCGGCCGCGCTCTTCCTTCAGGCGGGCAAGCTCCCTGGCACGCGCCTGCCGCTGCAGAAACTGCTCCACACCTGGCGCCGCCAAAACGGCAGGGCCCGACAAATTCCCTGGGCGCCCATGTATCGCTGGGCTGAAGGTGCATTGCGAGTAGTCCTCCGCGTGCAGCACGCGCTGCTCCTCCAGCTTCTGCCCCCGGCGAAGCTGCCAGAGGGCACTGCGCTCCTGCACTCGCAAAGCCGATCCCCCGCGCACCGTAGTGTAGGCGTCGCCCCTCCTCCCGGAGCTCCTGACGGTCCCCGGGCCGCCTGGGCGGACGCCGCTCACCTGTCGGTCCGCCGTGGGACGGGCGGCGTTGCCCACGGACGGCTGCCGCGCCGCCGACGCCGACGTCAACTCCGCCCCCGCGGAGTACCGCGCGTGCGGCGTGGCCCCGGCGCCCTCCCCGCTCATCACTTCGTCGTCCGACGTGTTGTACTCCGCGTCAGCGGCGTCCTCGCCGCCTCCCTCGGTGCCGTGCATCCGCCGCTGCTGACGCCGAATCCACGCGGCGTTGGCGAGCAGCTTCTCACGCTGCCGCACGAGGAGATCGTCCTCTGGAACTGTCTCCATCGCTTTCCTGCACGCGCAGCCGCACGCTGCGGGGGAGAGCAAGGAAGAACGGAGGAGGAAGAAACAAATAAAGCACCAGCGGCGCCAAGCACTTCCGCACCGATCCCAAATGGAAAGAAAGACAACAAGGAGGTATAGAGAGAGAGAGAGAGAGAGAGAGAGAGAGAGAGAGAGAGAGAGAGAGAGAGAGAGAGAGAGAGAGAGAGAGAGAGAGAGAGAGAGAGAGAGAGAGAGAGAGAGAGAGAGAGAGAGAG